GAGGAGGAGGAGGAGGAGGAGGAGGAGGAGGAGGAGGAGGAGGAGGATGTACAGAGGAGAAAAGGATGGACAGTTGGGGAGGGGCCAGCCCGTGGGTCAGACCAGAGAAGCGCCGCTGCTCCATGAAGTCCCGAAGGAAAGGTGAGGTGGTAAAGAGCAGGTCGTAGAGTTTGTCCACACTGAAGTTGAAGACCTCGTTCACATACTGTCTTCCACTCAGGTCCTCATAGAAGGCCTGGACCTCTCCTGCACAGAAGAGAGGATGAAGCATCCACCAAGGAGGACAGGAAGCTGTGGTGCCATCCCAACAGCATTGATATCTCTGTGGCTAACGTGGGTGCTACCACCAAGGGAAGGACGGCTGGGCTGGTGGGTTCACAGTGAATGCTTTGGCCTGCATCACTTCCTTTCTCTGGGACCCCAGTTGCCCCTGGTCTGGAGTGTGCTCTGAGATCCAGAACCTAGATTCTGACTCAAGGACCAAGCCAGTCCCTTTCAGGCTGCACAATGGAGAGGTGACGGGATGCCCTAGACATGTGTTCAGAGGCTCACCTTCATCGTGGGTGTCTGAGGAATCACTGAGCTCGGTCGGGAGATCCTCGTTGTCGTTGAAGTCCAGCGAAGGGGAGGTCACAGGGGCAATGATCTCGATCTTCTCTCCTATGATGTTGTCGATGGCAAGCTCCTTCTCCAGGGACCCATCACCCTCCATCACCTCTTCCTCCAGCGGCAAGCCATCAAACTGCAATGGAGACCAAGAATCACCCACCCACCAGGGTCCCTCTCTGTGAATCCATGCTGCAAAAGGAGACCAGCAAGCAACCCAGCCTTTAGAAGTCATCCCAATCACGGCGCAGCTGTGCAGGAGCAGGCTGGGGTCAGGTGCTGCGACTGTGCTGAGCAGCACAGGACAGGGAACTCACTGCCCTTGCCATGCCGTTTAAATGGCACACTGGTCTATGAGTGGTACTCCCGTTCTAGGCTCTTTCTGGAGCTACATTCCTACCATGCTGCTACAATGGCAGCCTGCTTGTAGCCAATGCCAGCATGCCTGTAAACAATAGCCTTCTCCTCAGGATCTCAGGGGGCCTCCCAGGAAAGTCTGGGGCTGCATTCTCTCATTGGCACCAGAAGGGAATCAGCTGTATTCTAAATCTAACCTCAGAAAGATGAAATGAAGGCTAGGCATCAATGACGTTTTTGTTCTAAGGCTGGTTAGCCTGGCCACCAGACGTGGAATAAAAGGTTCCTTTTTCTGAGAGCCCTTTCCCAAGGAACCCAGTCCCTTCTTGCTGACATATGCCCTAACCCTTCTGCAAAGTTCTGGCTTCTCTACAACAGTGTTCCTGAGGAGAAAGGTGCTCACAGACATTTATATAGCTTCCATTAACTTCAGCATAGTAGGAAACTAAACTGCAAAGGAACTCAACAGACATCTACTACAGGTGAATAAGCAATATGTGTCCTATGGTTCTATATTCATGTGTGACTTTGACTTTGAATCAAGGCGGGGGCGGTGGAAATAGGACAACAACCCAAAAAAGGTATCCAAAAGGAGAGGCTGTCTGGAGTAGTCCAGCAAGAGGTATATGCTGAGAAGACTTGGAATAGTTTTCAACTTCATATGCAAACCTAATCGTATAAACAAGGTATAGAGATTCTAGCCCTCAGCCTTTGGAATATATCATAGCACTGAGAGCTCATGAGTTCTGGGATGTACCCTTAGTCATGGTGACCACACGGAACCCCTTCTTACTTCCCTGCTCCCAGTGAGAAGCTCATGTGGGGTTAATTAAACTAGGAGACAATGGCCACTAATCAGGGCAGGGATTTGCCCAGAGTTTATCGCCCATACCGAGACAGGGGCTTCACTGCTTCCCGTAGAGGTCAGCGTGCTGTTGGTGATGGACTTCTTGGGCAGCTGTGGGCTGGCATCCGGCTTGGTCTCTATGCTGCTTTTGGATGAGCTGTCATTCACTTCATTCTCTTCTACGGGGATCTCTTCACAGTAGCTGGAGAAGACACCCCGCCCCGCTTCGTGAGCTCAGGTTAGTTTCCGTGGAGGAGACTACCAGCTAGTCTAAGAACATAGGTCTGTCTGTCAATCTGTACTTGCGGGCTTTCCTGCTTCTTTTCTTTGAGTGTGTGATTTCACAGTAACCAGAAAGCTGCCCCTTCATTGCTCTCCCAAGGCCTCATTCTATCCTTACTCTGCCTCTCCTTACCCTGGAACTTCTTTCTGAAACCCACCCTTTCTAGACACCCTCCTTAGATGCATGTCTATTCTTTTCTGTTGGAACCCATCCCATGCCCATCTTCTGAATCTAATATCTGGGCTCTGAGCACATACCTCCTTTCTCAAACATCAGCTACTATGATTCTGAATATGGTATTCCCTCAGTAGCACTGCCCAAATCACAGATTGTAACTAACAAACTTCTCTGTATTGTACATCCCAGATGAAGCAGAGGCACTTCAAGAGGGCCACTGTAGCAGTCATTCTCCTCACAGCCATTGCTGGCATTGACATCTGACTTGTACATTTAGTTGCATCTGGATGTTCTACAGTTCCCAGTAAATCATTCTGTGCATTTTAGACATCAGCAAACAGGGCTTGACAGAGCTAGCGTGGAAGCAATATTACTACTGTTTCAAGCCAAGGTCTAAGTACTGCCCTCAATGCTCTCTCCTGGCTTCTCACAACATTTAGTCTTCACACACCTAACTACTGTCAGTCACTGGCTTTCACCATCTTTCCACCCTGCCTGCAGCATGTCATACAGTGAGTCTCCATCCTTAACTTCCTGCTCTTAGGTTCTAGCCTGTGAGACTCTCCTTTCTTCCTGGATGTTCTTTCTCTGCTCCCCAATCTTGCTGAGTGCTTCCAAGCCTAATCCTTGAACGTCCTTTTATGTTCAATCACTTGGAGGACTGAGCCAACCAATCCCATGGTTACTCACGAGAGACTCTCAGTTTTACAGCCCTGGCCCAAACTTCCCCACGAACACAACAGCCATCCTCAGAAGCCTATTTGATCTCTCCTCTTGGCTAGCAGGCATCCCCATTTGCTTAAAACCCACCTTCTCAAACTCCTCTGTCAACAATACTCCCCATCTCTCCTTTCCACCAAAAAGTGAAACCAATAAATTTTTAACCAAATATGAAATTTGTTTCTGAACCATCAGCAAATCCTTCAAAATATACTAAGGAACTAATTACCGCAGGAGCCACTGCAACCTTCCTGGTCGAAACCACCACCACTATGGATCTTCTGAGTCACCATCTAGCAACCCTTGAACAGGTCCCCCATGTTCTCCACTTGAGTGGATTTCCAGCATAGAAGCCATACTGGTCCTATTTAGATGTTAACTCATAGACCTTAACTCAGAACTTATCAACTGTCTATTACAAACCTGCCCATACCTTTCTGCCTAATACCGAATGCCACGTTGGCCAAAAGGCTACTTAGTAGTCCCTGCTCCCTTGGTCCTCTGGCTTGTCTCTGTCTCTGACCACTTCTATAGCCACATAGCCCTGTTACTGTTCCCTCTGCCTGAAGAACTGGTTCTCTCCACTGTTTTGTAGGGTGACACTCAGATTCCACTTTCCAAATGATGGTCTCATTTCCATTCTGATCCCCATAACCTTTGGGACGCTCACCCAAGGCCACACTTACCCCATGGTGTTGAAGTCATCGTCTGGAGGCACGTAGTCCTCATCGTCACTGGTGAGACCCAGCTCGTTCCCGTAGCACTGGTGGACGAAGTGCCAGAGCTCCTTGGGGCATAGGGGCTGCAAGAGATAAGAGCATTGATGCTGACCCTCCCTCCCCCAGGTCCTGACATTCTGCACAGAAGCACTGTCCCTCTTGTGGGGAAAGAAGACAGAGGCCTCTCTTCCTAACTGATAAAGAGGACATCTCTATGACAACGCCATCCACCTCAGACAATCCAGTCAGATGCCAATCTGCTGCCTGAAAACGTAGACTCCAACAAAATCAAGGATGTGGACCTCCCTTGCCTGCCCCTTCAACAGAGCTCTGCAGAATGGGATTAAGTGGCCTTCTGAAGATGGGAAGCACCCCACCTCCTGCGCCCATGCTAACCTAGGGCCACAGTTATCTCTGAACGCCCACAGGTGCCCTGACTCAGTCTTGCAACACCCCAGAAATTAAAGGTCATTAACCCAGCCCTCTCGTGACAACCTGAATATTTCCTTCTTCATTCTAAAGGGCAATCAATTTGTGTACAAGCCTACGTCTAGTTCAGTGTTTGCTTACTGAGGAGGCGTCTGTTTGTCCTCTTTTAAAACACTGTCCGAAGAAAACTTTTCGTAGGATACAATTTCCAGAGAGAAGCAAAGGAGTGTCAAAGAAACTAAGAACTAAGATCACAGGTGGAAACAGTTACTGTGTCATAGAGCGAAAAGAAGGGAAGACAGTGGTAATGCCAGGCATGTGGAAAAGACAGTAGGAACATAAGAAAAACAGATGCAACCGATGGCCGACAAGAAAGGAATAAGTGCCGGAAGTCACGGGTGCCTTACTCCTGGCAGTGCTGGGGCATTCTCATGAAAAAGGCTGGCTCTGTTCAAGATTCCTAACAGAAGATTTCCAGAGACATGGGCTCCTTAAAAGCCAGCCATACCACAATAAAAGCACTCTTCCCAACCGGGGTAATATCCAAGTGAGAACACTCTGGGTGCATGACCTCCGCAGGTTGAAGAACAGAGTCAATTCTTTGTATGTATGTATGTATGTATGTGTCTGTCTGTCTGTCTATCTATCCATCCATCAATCCATCCATCCACTCATCCATCATCCATCTCTTTACTAACAGAAAAGCTTTCTGTCTACTTCCCTTTCAGTACTTACCTTTTCAAGGAGAGCATTCTGCCAGAGCCGGAACATCATCATGTATGTCCTATCCCGGGCCCCAAATGAAGTAAAAAAGTGCTAGATTGGAGGAGAAGATGCAGAGAAACATCTGTGAAAACTTCTAACATGGTGGATGGAAACACGGTCCTTATTCAAAATACTCAATCTCAAATGCTACTGACTGTCAGTTATCTAACACCGTCAGCACACTGGGGACCTGAAATCTCCAAGTCCCCACTATAACTAAGTCCTTCTATATTTTACCCAGACTTTCTTCTGTGTTTTTTACTCTAGTTCTAAACTGTGTTCCCGAAAATAGAAATGTTCTTTGCTCACCAACTGGAACTGGCAAGAGGTGAGCTGGGGTACAGCATGAACAGGATGAGACAAATCTACTGACCCATCACCCTTCAACGAAATCTACATGTGCACATGAAGGCTATCCAACATAGTCTAGAATCACAGGACTCAAAATTGGATATTCTAACTCAAAGTTGTAAGTTCTACCCTAACATGCCACCCTAATCCCTTACTCAGCCTTCAACCACCCTGCTCACCCAGGGAGTATTTTCTAGGACTTGTAACATGCTTACGGCCTGCCTCTTCAAACCCGGTAGTCTAAAGCTGAAGGTGGCTTAAGGGTGAGAATACAGAGGTGGGAAGATGGGGAGTAGGATATAGGACAGGGTGCATCAGTCAAAAGGTCAGAACTTGACAACACCCACCTTTTCTGAATCAGTACAGACTTGGATGGCATTGGGAATGAGGCGAGCTGTTTTCTCTTTAGTCATGGAGCAAATGTCTTTCAAACGGACAGTTAGCTGGCGTCCCCATGGTGACAGAATAGCAAGGAAAAGAGGGCATTAGTACAACAGGCAAAGGGCATCCAGTAGTTGCCAAAACAAAACAAATCCCAGTTCTTATACCTCTGGCCCTGGAAGGGTCCAATTTAGAGGTCACCTTATGCCACAGAGGCCTTGTACTAAGGAACAACTGGATTTTCTCTCCAGCCATGGGTCCCTAGATTCTACAGTCTGATATATGGACAGAGGACCTGCCATTATTGCTACTTACATCTAAGTTACCTTTCTCTATCTTATTTTTAAAAGATGAAGAAATAAAGGCAAATTTTAAAAAAAAACACTAAAATTATAGTTAATGAAATGCAGAACCCAGAAAGTGTGCAAAACAGTTTTTCTGAGTCCTTCAGCCAATGTCCTTCCCACTTCACTGTGCCCCCCTGCCATAACTCATACCAGATAGCTCTCTGCATTTGCCAAAGGAAAATGTTTTTTATATTGTCCTCCATACCCAAGAGATGGGAAGGAAACTCATGGCAGAAGAGATGTCGGGGGCGGGCAAAAAAAAAAAACATAAAAAAAAGAAAGAAGAGATGTCATGACTGGGACTCAGAATTGGGTATCCTCCAGTACACAGGTGTGGGTTTGTGCTAACAATATAAAGGCAGAGCCGGGGGTGGGGATGCACACCTTTAGTTCCAGCACTCAGGAGGCAGAGGCAGGCAGGTTTCTGAGTTCAAAGCCAACCAAGGATACACAAAGAAACCCTGTCTGGGGAGTTGGGGGGTACACTATAAAGGCTTGGACAGAGCACAAAGTCAGTAAATAAGGAAAATGAAAGCAGCTTTCTCAGTCACGGCCAAGACAATGCCCAAAGGGGCAAGTCTGGGTCTTTTTTTTCTTTTTGCAACGCTGGGAACCAAGCAGAGAGAAGTCTGTGCATGCTGGGTAAGCTGCACGTGTACTATCACTGAGAAACAACGCCTGCATTGCCCACCGTCCCCCACCTTCCCAAGTATCAGGTCTTTACCAAAGTTTCCCATCGGAAGATGTTGCTGTAGAAGCAGATCCAGTTTTCTGAGAGGTAGAGTCGGCCCTGAAGAAGAATGTCTCTTTGGAGTGCACAAGAGTAATCTGTGTAAGAAGCAGGAGATGGGAGCTCAGAAGCAGGGGATATTGCCAGCAAACCAGTGTACAGTGAGCGGGCCACCCATCCCTCCAACCGTCTGCTGCTGACCAGGTAGAGCAAGCCATTGCCTGGTGGCCAGATAATGCATGAGCATGAGAGCCAATGATGGGCCGAATTTAAAACCATTTTAAAAAGTCCAGTGCTGTTCAATAAGTTCCCTACCCTTACTGCCATGACAGCAACTGGTTCTACAGAGCGGCCACTTGCAGAGGTAAGTATGTCTCTGAATCGCCCCCTGGGTGGGCTCTCAAGGATGCATGCCACAGGCATGGTGCTAGATCCTAAGATCTGGGACTTAAGATGTCGCCTGGTGCTAGCTCGACCTTCCTGCTTGTGTTGGCTCTCAGCCTCTGGTCAGAGGCAGCCTGAGCACTCTCTCTGGAACTCTCAGACTTCCTGGTTGGCCCCTCCCAGGATACTAGCTCACCAACAATGAGGCGCTCCGTGTCTGGAAGTTGCTTAAAGAGCTTTCTGAAGTCTTCATTTCTCTGCTTGTAAGTGGGGCTTAATACCTGCGTAACAACATCCAAGGTTAGCATGATGGTCCACACACTGCAGGATTAGAGATGGATGCTGGGGTGGAGAAGGGGGATGCTTATGTGATAGAAAGGCAGAGAGAGGAAGCTCTCTTCCCATAGTCCCCAAGAGGCCAGGTTAAGAAAGGAGCCTTGGCATGGAGGAATAGCATAGAGAGTCTGGTCCTGAAAATCCCTTCATGCAGCATTGGTCAGTGAAAAATATGGGGTCCACGTGTATCCCAAGAAGGGTAAGCAAGGAAGGAAACCTTCGAGTGTCTTCCCAGGACCTAGCATGTCAGTTATCACTGCCCTGCTTCCTGCCAGTTCTACCTTGGCAGTGGAAAGGACCTGGGGCTAAGGTAGCTCTCAGCAGGACTTCGGAGAAGGTTGGACACTGTGGACCTCTTGAAGTTTGTTGTGACTAACACAGTGAGCTAAAGACGGGATTTTTCTTCAAATCATAAAACATGGCACTAAAAAACTTTTTTAAAAGCCAGTAACAGAAAGAAAGAAAAAAAAATGAAAGCATGAGTTGTGAAAACATGCATCTGCACACAGGCATGGCACACAGGCATGGCACTTCCCTCCCTGTCTTACCAAGTGACCTGCCAAACCAATGTACAGTGAGAAACTGAGACAAGAGAAAAGCCTCATGCCCAAAGGTATCCAATGCTATACAGTGCCAGACCCCAAGATGGAGTCCATCCTCCATAAGCCATAGAAGCCAGGAGAGGACCAGGCACTTGCACAGTATCGAGACTCAGACCCTAAAAACTGCTATGCATCCTGAACCTGCTCATTGCCATAGACTAACTTAACAAATCTTCCTTGGAAATCCCACCAGCCAGTAGAGTAGTTAGGAATTCTGTCCTTCTGGTGCATACAGTCTTAAAAGCTTTAAGAAATAAAATAAATGGAAATAGAAAAGATGGGTGCCCGTAGATGAAGGACACTCAAGGATGATACAAAGATTACAACCTAGGGTGAGTCACGCATGAGGACAGAGGCGCATCTGCATTCCACCCGGCCATGTGCTGACCTACTTACACACACACTAGGCTGCTGACCCTCTGCCAGAGATGCGTGCCTGAGGGACAGATTGTCCTGCTGGCAGTGGCATGTGCTTCCTGGCCTCTCACACTCTCACCCACTTCTCTGGGAATCCACAGGCACACAGCTGCTAAGGGACGGATCCTTTGACTCTTCATGCTTCAACTTCATATGAAACTAAGTGACCCGCATGGAAACAGTCTGGGAGTGATTGCATCTGAACCCAGGGCTGCCCGCCTCCCTGACAGCCTGACCCTCGGACTAGAGGAAGAGAAACGTGGAGGAAGTTAGAGAGAGAGAAAACTGTGTGCGTTTAGTTTAGGTCGATGCTCCAAGAGAGAGAGGTCAGAGAAGAGTGAGGAAAAGGAACTTCTCATTAATCTGTCTATAATTTGAATTTCAAGCTTTTGTTCTTGACTGACTGACACGTGTATTATGAAAGGCCCAGTTACCTTCCCCAAAATATACCACACCATCATCATATAATGTCCAACTTCCCATCAAGATTCCAGACTACTAGAGGTCATCTAGAAGCTTATCTATTTCATGAATCCTACAGCTAGAGAAGACCTCAGGCCGGGTGGTGATGGCACATGCCTTTAACCCCAGTACTCAAGAGTCAGGGAGAGAGATTTCTGAGTGCGAGGCCAGCCTTGTCCAAGTGAGTTCCAGGACTACACAGAGGAAATCCTGTCTCAAAACCAACCAACCAAACAAGCAAGTAAACAAACAAGCAAACAAAAACTCAAACAAAGACCTCACATACAGCAGTCCTCCAAGAATCACTAAATATCATGCAAAGGTCCTGCCTTTTAGAACAGAATCTGCACGCAGGAAATCCTTGCTTGATGGCCTGACTGTTCATATAGGCCTCACAGCCCACCTTCTAGACAGCCTCACAGCGAGCACACGGCCACCACATACATCACCGCAGCTCACCACAGGGTAAATTTCGTTACTCCCACTTCATACCTGTAGGTAATGAGACAGAAGCAAAGCAGCTTGCTGAGGAGTGTGGAGACCCAGTGGGAATGGAACAAGAATCTTAGCCAACAGCTAAAAAGAAAACCATGGGGTTTCCCGCAACAGCACGCTCATGGGAGGAGAAACTCACCCGTTTTGGGGTTCCCTCTAGGTTCTCTCATCTCTGGGTAAGTCTTTAAAAAGTTCCTACAAGGAGGTCCCCAATCCACTTCAGGGGAAACTGAGTACCAGGCATCCAGTAACCTGATGCCAAGAGCCTTCCTAGTTCCAAAATTTCATTCATAGTGTCCTCTTCTCTGGGATTCTATCATAGTCAATGAGAGAATTCCAGAACCCACAGAGATAGAGGCACAGAAATCTACATACAATCTCCCAAAAGCAAGCAGGAAAGGACATCAATCATTAGTGCTTATAGCAGTGGGAAGGAATAGCGAAGATCTCCTTACTCCACATCTGTAACCAGCTGTCTTTATTCTGTCTGTTGATGTAGATGGTAGGCCACCTCTCTGTACTAATGTACAAAGACAAAATGGATGGGAATACTTGGCTTTCAATCCCATGCCCCTTTGATGCTGGGGAACCTAGCCCCCTACACACACTCTCTATGTACTTGTAAAACATTCTCTTTCAAAGGTGAAGCAGGGCTCACCTCTATAAAATGGCCAAAGAATTCTGGCTCAAAGGTTGTCAAGTCTGAGATTCTCAGCAGAGCCAAGTGTGGCATGAAAGAGTGCACAGAATAGTCAGAGGGACAGAGGGAATTCGGGCGACACACTCACGGCTGGGATTTTCTCAGATCCATGCCAGCAGTAGCATTCTGCACCAACAGGTGCATCAGCAAGTCTCTTCAAGTACCACAGCAGAGACTGGCTATCCCGTTCCAGCAGGAGGCTCCAGAGGACCCCAGACTCTGTCAGAGATTCCATCACCCCCAACAAAAGTCCCAGGCGAGGGTCCCCAGGTCCTTGCGCTGATCCTCAGGTTCCCTCAGAATGAAAGCAGTGAGTCTAGCCTGGACCGAACCCAAGGTGATCTCGGGCTTCTGCACAGAGGGTCTAGACAATCCTCTCTTAGAGCCGTGCTCCCCGTGCAAACTCTCACAGATGAGAGGCTATAAGAAGCATGGGTCTCAGAGCGGGCTGGCTGTCCAATGTGCCACAGCTGGACTCCGCTTCATCCTTCCCATCTTCAGTCCCGGGAGCAGCCCAGACGGGGTGTGGTCAGGCGATACTCCCTGGTAGGTGCAGCCACTCAGGAGTCCAGGTGAGACACGAAGACAGACACAGCAGATATGCAACACGGGCTGAGTTGCGGAAGGGCAGCCCCACGTGAACAGGCAAACTCGGCAGAGCAGGATGACCCAGGTCCAGAGGTCTATTTCCACTAGCTACTCACACTCAGAGTGACTCACAAGTGACTCTTCGGGAGCTCCGGGGAGGCTCATGGTGGCGCAGATCTTAGTCCAGATATGCCCCACAGACTGGCCTGCTCAGTCAATGTGTCTATCCCCCAGCAGACCAGGGCCGCCCGCCGTGACTCACATCTCTCACCCAGGCAGAATGGGAGGCCACTACGTAGCTGCGGCACAGGGCCTGCGCTCATCCCCACCCCTGCACACACCCCTTTTGCCTCCAGAAGGCACTCCTTTCAGCTGGCCAGCAAATGACTTCTTTGTTAAGAGTCACTGGGGCCTGAGGGAGGGAGGCAGGGCTGGTGGGCGGGCAAGGCCAGAGCCCCGCACATGCTTCAAGTTACAGGATCTGGGTGATGGGCCTGGCCAATGTCCTACAGTAACCCCAGGCCTAGCCTGGCCTCAACCAGCAGATGTTTCCTGCAATGGAAAGTTGCTGGCCAGGGCTCTCAGTGGAGGAAGAGGAGGGGAGGTGCACAGGGCATCAGAGCTCTGGGGACATCTGAAATTTGAGACGGAATAGAACAGGGGTTTCTTAAGAGACAGCTCTCCTCTAAGGAACCCGTCTATTCGGCAACTTCTCTGATGCAACAGCAGCCAACATGGGACTCTCCAAATGTGCTGGCCACAGAGAAGTCGGACAGATAGTCTGCAGAAGAGGAGGTCAGCCTGAGGTGCTCTCCCAAGGACTAGGCCCCATGGAGGCAAAGAATCAAAGCCAAGCAGAGTCACAGCCCAGACCTTGAGGGCAAATAGCAATAGTAAGAGCAGACCTTCTGGACCCTGGTGAGAAGGTGGGAGACAAGTCAAAGAAAGAGATGGCAGCCAGGCCGTGGGGGCAGAAAGGGCGCTATGCCAGTGAGTCTCAACCTGTGGGTCACGCCCCCTTTTGGGGATTGAATGACCCTTTCACAGGGGCTGTGGACTATGGGATATTTACATGACGGCTTGTAACAGCAGCAAAACTACAGTTATAAAGAAGCAACAAAAATAATTTTACAGTTGGGGGTCACCACAGCGTGAGGAGCTGTATTAAAGGGTTATAGCGTTAGGAAGGTTGAGAACCACTGAGCGAGGCAGAGAGGTGCAGAGGGGGAATACACAGCGTGGGGACTGGGAGGGTGTGGACTCCCACAAGATCCTCAAAATAGTCAAGGCAGCTCTGTTCTACCCATCTAGCCTACCCTATCAGGAAGGTCTTGGACTGCTGCATCATGGGTAATGTTCCTTCTTCTTGTAAACCTAGTAATTTCCTATGCTGAAACTTTAGTATGTTTAAAAATTACTCCAGTGACGCCAAAGAACACAGATTCTTGGTTCTCAGACCCAAATACTCCAGCTAAGAAAAACATGACAATCACTATTAGGGTAAAGAAAGGGGGAAGAATCCTTGCCCGAGGCATCTTCTAACTCGCTCCCCTTTCCATCTTGAAGGACACCTGCCTTCATCTAAACTAAAGTAAACCCCACTCCATTAGATACCATCTCTCCTAGGAATGAGTCACCACCCTTCAGTTCAATCTTCTCTAGCACTCAGTATTTCATATATTGTGTAAAAAATATCTATGACATGAATGCATTCCCTATCGCTTTATTGGCATCTTATCACACACACACACACACATACACACACACACACACACACACACACACACACACACACACACGTACAGATCCCTAGGCCATAAGCCTGACTTCATGGAGCATAATCCCCTCCCTGACTCCATCCTAAGATCAAGTTCTCTCTGCCCTGTGTGACAGCGGTTCTCAGATTTTGTGAGAGGTGAAGGCAGTAACTCTGTTTTCCAGGATGGTCGTAACACTTCCCTTCAGATCCACACCACACCCAAGACACAGGCAGTATAGACCATTCCAGAAGGCTGCGGGAACTTAACAGAAAGTCCCTGGAAACACTGGTACCTAGGCCACAAACACAGGACAGCCGAGATGGTGACTGTTTGGACAAGACAGGAACAGTTAACACCCAAGAGACATATCGCCATAGACTGAGATGACTCTCAGTCTGCCTCAGCCCTGGTCTCCACGGGCTTGGCAGGGCAGGGCCAGAACTCCAGGAGAGGGAATTGGCTCCTAGCTAAACATTAACTCTACAGCAAACACTGGGTGCTGGGACCAACTGGTACCCTTTCTCGGCCCAGGCTCAGCAGAAAGCAGGGGGTGAGAGAGCCCAGGTTTAAAAAAATAGATTTTGGTTCAGCATTAACCTCACCTAGGAAGAAACCAGTGAAGAGCCACAAAGGAAATCCTGGTGCTTCCGCCAAATCCGGTAGGCAGAAGCCAGATGCGGGTGGGACAAGGAGGTGACTAAACACGAGGTGGGCCCAGGTGCATGGGCAAGGGTGGAGAAAAGGTAGGGTGGGGGGGTTGTCTCATCTGGAGAGGCCATACCACCACTGGGGAGTGAAGGATGGGGTTAACTATCATGAGGGTAGCAGCCAGGAAGATTCTTCAAAGTTATGGGTAAAAATCCTAGGTGGGACAGATGGGACGAAGAGGAAGGGCAGTCCTTGGAGAAAATAGTAGGCACTGGGCATGTCATCTCGCTACCCCCAATACCTTCATCCACTCCTACAAAGCCTTGTCCTATGGCTCTCGAACCGACGCCGGCGAGACTTGCTGTGTCATTCCCAGGATTGGCACCAATCCCCCTTCCCTTCCTTAAAGCCAGCTTCCCTAACAGAGGACAGTGTTAGACAATGTGGGTGCTGTCTCTAGCAACTGCCCTATTCTAGGCTTTGTCCCTAAGTTGCTATGGAAACACTAACCCCCAAGGAATGAGGCATAAGGCAGGAAGGTTTATCTGCCCACCTGGAGCTCAGCAAGACCCATGCCTACTGGGACTAGGAAGGACCATATTTAATAGGCACATGGCATCCCTCAGGCTTCGGTCTGACCACCCTTATGTCTGACCACAGTTTCAAAGCCCTGTCACCTGACCCCTTAAGCTCCTGACCACTGGGACTGCACCCTTGTACTCCTGGGCTAGAGGACTTGCTGAATAAAACGAGCTGGTCAGCCGAGGTGGGAAAGGGCAAGACGGGCCCCAGGCAGCGGCACCAGACAGAATCTTCATATACCACCCTGACTCTGACATTCGGCCCTCCACGGACTTTTCCCCACGTCACTGGGGTGTAGCCACTTCCTTTCTTACGAGTCACCCTTCAGGTCGGGTCTGTTATTTTGTTGGCAGCTTCCCTTTGGCTAGCTGTGGGACAATGAGTTAGTGGCTTTTCTCTTCTACAGACTGGTAGTGGTGACAGTAGAACGGCCTCCTCTTAAATTACACCCAGGCCCCTTGAACGGGTCTCGGGGGACTCCTATAGTAGTCAACACTCTGTAGAGCCCTAACTCTAGCCTGCCCCCAGGGTAGGAGACTATAAAGCTTACATCTAAAGGACTCCTAGTGCCAGGGATAGAACTTGAGGCAACACAGTTGGTGAGCAGACTCTAGCTCTGAGAAAGAGACAAAGCACTGTCTACAGCCATAGGAACAGGACACCAGGATCCTCTCTGCAGGTCAGACTCCACCAGCCAGCTAGCAGGGAGCAACAGAGGTGAAAGGTAGGTCTAAGGCAAAGCAGGCCATAAGAAAAAGGGTAGACTGAGAGCCCCCCAGAGACTATGAGGGGGGTAATGCTGAGGGATGGGTCAACTGAAGTTCCCCTGATGGTGGGTCTGAGCACAGTATATAAGGCATAGCCACAACCCTCAGAGAGAAGAAGGTACTTAGCCAGCCAGGACCCAGCAAGTGCTACAAAAGCCTACCCAACGTGGGGCTCTCAGAACAAAGGTTGCAGATTCTCGTTCTAGCCAAAGCAACTGTGCCAATGTCCAGGGTAAATGTCTTCGCGGGGTGAGAGAGAACCCAAGGGAAGCTTCTGCAGTGTCAGCCAGACAGGCTAACTACACTATTAAGTGGCTCTGGAAAACAGAACCAGGACATCTGTCTCGTCAGTAAGGGTGAGAGGATCTCATTCAACTAGCCTGTCTGGGTTCTACATCCAACCTGCCTCCCCGCTACTGCAGGCACTGAGCAACCTCTTTAGGAGCTACTCTTGTACAGGAAATACAGGAATAAGGGAAAGCAGAGGTCAGGGACTGTGTGATTGCCATGCACACCTCTAAGTACCTGCAGCTAGGGCAATGAAAACTCTGTTTCTGGGATCCTGATGGTCACCTGCCATCTCCGTTTTCTCCTCCACTTTCAATCCTTTCTGCTTCTGGCACCAACAGACAGCAGCCCAGAGAAGGCAGAAAGGAATGTATGTGTTGGTGATCATCCTGGAAGACTTACCAAGGTCCCCACAACCTGTCATTACACTGAGTGCTCGGATGTCAGAGCTTCAGAATCAGGCTGAGGGAGGACGGGGAGATAGGAGAGGTGGAGGCGTAGGGCGGCTTAAAACTTGTAGCCATCGGGAAGAAACGGAAAGGCAGCCAGGTGACTGGAGAGCAGAGAGCGGAGAAGAGCATGAAGAGGGGAGGAAAGAAGGGTGGTGTGGGGGAGAGCACATGGAAGGAAGAGCCGCACAGGGAGAAAGGAAGGCAAGCAGCAGCAGTTGCACTACAAGCCACGTGAGGAGAAAGGGAGCGATGGGAGCAAAAGTTGCAACCAAGATGGGATTTGCGTGTCCAAATCTGGACGCTTTAATTGCCCAATAACACTGTGGCCATGTGTTTTCTGTATCCCTTAGGTGACACTAATTTATGCAACGCCGCTCCAAAGGAGATTATTAGGGAGGATGCTGGGGTATTTGCGACAGCTGGTCCACGACAGCTTCTACGCAGAGAGAGCTCCTCCCACCCAGATAGGAGCCGCCATCAGTTTGAGGAGGCCAGAGGCCAGGAGACCCTTGGTGAGCCAGGGAGAAGGAACAGGCGGGGGAGTGGGGGGAGGCAGAGCTCGGCTTCTCTTCCACCCGCTGTCATCTCCATCCTCAACTTCCCCGTATCAACACAGGCCATTTGGGGTGCTCAGTGGGGCTGTGGTTGGTGGGGCAATAAAAAGCAGGTGGGACAGGCAGGCCCAGGGCAGTTTGTGGGATGCCAGAGTGTTTGCTGACACGTGTCTGACTTTAAGAAACTACTTTCTTCCATGCTGTACATGAAGACACGCGTGGCCCAGAGGGATTTCGACCCACAGCCCCACACTGAGCACAAGCATCTGTCTCCTCAAGCCCTTCCTCTGCTCCCTCCCACCCTGTCATTCCACCATCACGAGAGCTTCTCCGAGCCTCAGCTCCCACTGGAGCAGAAGTGGCTACAAGAGGGGGTGAGCTGGGGTGCAGGAGGAGTATTCTCAGCACAGACAAGGGTGTGAAGCCATGCCACAGGGCATGTCGGCTCTGTCACGAGGCAGTGCCCCGGAGGGCATACAACACGAGACCAGGGCAGGCTGAGAGACTCCAGTCAGCTGTCCTTCCAGGGAAGAGTTCGGAGCCTCACGACCTGGTCTACGTAACAAAGAGAACAGGGCCTTCACAGGACTGCTAAAACTCCACAGGGCATTTTCAGGGCTCAGAGCTGGATGAATAGCCACTAGGAATGAGCTTGACTCTGCTTCACAGACCAGAAGCAGCCACGCCCTACAGCAGGCACGTGTTCTGGAGGACCCTGGATGTCTGCGACACTTTCCAGCCCATAGCATAGTCTCTCAGCTCCAGTTCCCCCAAGAAGACATCTTGGTTAGTGGGTGCCAACTTTGGCCTCCTGGCTCCCTCACCCTGGAATTCTGACTGGCCTTGAAACAGTCACTCTCCCGCGGCTGCTCCCTGACTTCACACAGGGCGTTAGATGAGGAAAGCAATGAGGCGGGTCATTTCTTTGCGTCCCCAAATCAAATCCTCCTCCCCAAGACTTATCCATCCTGCTATAGATGAGAACTACTCTATCTAGTTTGGGGTGAGAAAAGGTTGACAAGGGCAAAAACTCACAGGGAACTTGACAATTTTACCTCCCTCTACCCTGCCCCCCATTTTACTATTACCCAACAAGAAGAGAAACAGAAATACTTACATTGTACCAACTCTGGCTTTTCTGAAAAGAAAATAAAAAAGGAGAATGAAATTAGTTAGGGAGGAGATATTGGAAGCAGCCAGAGTATTCCTTCCCCCTGGGGTAAAGGTAACACAGACAGCAGTGGGGGGCCAAGGAGAAGGAATCCTAATGCAGCTCAATGCTTCCCGTGTCGACGCTCAGGAGGGTCCTCCTTTCGCAAGACAGATCCAGAAAGGAGGCCCGGGGAGCAGTCCATGCTGGAAGCCCCACCACAGCTGGGGCGGTTGGAGATGCAGGCGGCAGTGGCAGCACTAGCTAGCGCTCGACCAGAAGGGAGGCAGAGCCCCATCCATCGCCAGGTTCTGCTGATGGGGTGTGGGATGTGTGGTAGGCATCCAAAGCCTAGTTCCTGAGTGGGTTTTGCCCAGAAGCAAAGGATAGATGAAGCCCAGTACAGCCTTCTGCTCTGGGTCATCTCTGGCAAAGGCGGGGTGGGATATCTCAGTGACGGCAGAAGAGGCATCTAAAAGTCACACTGTGCTCCTAGCTGGCGGGTGAGTAAATTCTTCCTATCCCGACAACTGGCTGACCTCCTCACAGCTCACAGCGGAGGGAGGGACTGGGGTTCGGCAGGGGAAGAGAGGAGAATCGTGTCATCTTGGAAGGCTTCTGCCAACCCGTGGTGCAACAACTCGGTGTTCACAAAGCCTCATTCTGTCCCAGCTCTACAGTCTAGGAATTCTCATGCTGGCCTCCCCAGGGGATCTGAAACTTAATAACAATGAGAGAAGGGGACCAGCTAGAACCTGCTGTGCCCGTTTCCAGCCTCTACTTGTGAACATTCTGTGTGGATGTAAGAAACCTCACCAACAGGTCAAAGCCTCGATGTGATACCAGAGGATGGAGCCTGTGCACAGTCAGCAGCCTGGAGTGTGTGTCCATAAAACCAGAACTGGGCAGGCACTGTGTCAGCTGGTAAGCTGTGGGGGGAGGGGGGGCGGAGGGGGTACGACAGGGTGGAGGTGAGTGTGAACCAGGGTGGGAAGGGCTGTGACCACAATGATGACCAGATGATCATGTGATCTCCCCTCACCAAGTCCTTCCTTTTGACCCCAAGTCTGGCCGACACCTTGACCCTGTACTTTGGTGGTCAGAGGCAGGCCGTAGAAGTGGCCCAGGCGTGAATATGCTTCTCTCACACACAGATTTCACTGGCCAGTCTGCCAGGGCAGCAGGTCGCAGGGCGGACACTCAGTCCCCTCTGCTAGGGGCTCTCTGTGGCAATTCCTCAAAAGGCTGTCACTACAGTCTAACCTAGAAGGCACAGCCTTTTATCACAGAGCCACCCCCTCCTCCAATCCAGAAGTTGAAGGACGAACCCACACATCCAAGCCTACTTCATCACAGAGTAGGAATTGCTACCTTGCAGGAAGGAATTCTGGACTTGGCCTCCCTATCATTCAGCCAAGGCTCTACACGCCTGGAGGAGGGTGGATGGAGCAAGAAAGTTGCATCCAACGGGGCCTGCGCTTCGACAGACTTTTTGAAGGTTCACAATGATAACTGACTCTAAGGCCACAAGAAATGATGGGGGGGTGTGGATGTTGGTTGGCAGCCCCTCACAATGACAGCGCGCACACTCTTGCAGTCGTCACCCAAGCTATCCAGGTGTCCTGGGATGCGCCAGCCCCGACCCAAGCTTGTCACCTGCTTCACAGATGAGGAACATCTCTCAGCTGCACCCAACCACCTCATCCCTTGTCACTTTTGTGTACGACCCAAAGAGGAAAGGGGGTGGTGGGACCAGGATCCTCCGTGGTCCTCAAACCTGGAGCCTGCCCTCTGGCCCGTGCAGACAGAAGTGGCTCTCTTCCTATGCATTAGCAAGATGCCAGTTCCTTAAGAAACTACTTGAAACAAACAGCTTCAAGGTCCCAAGAGCTTCAGTTAGAAACATCAGCCCCATCTCTACCTAGTTCTGTGATACCTTGATGTCGAATATTTGTTATAAAGTGAGAGCAAGGAAGAAAGTCTAAGAACCGAAAGAAATGAGGAAGGCGCCCTCTAGAGCAAGGGCTTTGGAGGCTCTGCCCCTGACCAGAACTCTACAGTTTCTAAAAAAAAAACACAGATTTATTTATTATGTATACAACATTCTGCCTCCATGTATGCCCGCCTGCCAGAAGAGGGCGCCAGATCTCATTACAGATGGTTGTGAGTCACCATGTGGCTGCTGGGAACTGAACTCAGGATCTCTGGAAGAGCAGCCAGTGCTCTTAACCACTGAGTCATCTCTCCAGCCCTCTACAGCTTCTTATAGCCAGCACTGAGGGTGCCTCGGGGACATGTGTATTAACATCTACAGTGACATCCACATTAACCCTCAAGACCGTCCAGCAAGAAGGAGTTCCTGACCTTTGACCTGCCTCCTGGGGAAGAATTACATCCTTATGGCTTAGCATTCCTGGACTGAGTGCTGAAGGGATCTCCTGTAAGGGGAAGACCTCAGAGAGGCTTAATAAGGCCCAGGACTGTGGCAGGGGCCCAAACAGGCAGGACAGAGAGACTGCCTACCATTGTAAATCCATTGCAGTGCCCCTCCCTGGAGGATCGGGCTAGAGCACAAGGTGGCACAGAAGTAGGGAGGCCTGATTCTAAGAGCTTATAGCAGATGGTCAAAGGGGGAAGGACGTACAAAGACAGAGCTGTTGGGGACAGGGTTAGAGCTGGGCGTGGAGGACTTGGAGGACCTGTCCTGTGTTTCTTTGAACTTTCCTACAAGGAATCAAACAAGCAAGGACTCGATGGAATGCAAGGCTCCTGGAAACGTACCCAAACTACCTTACAACAGTTTCCTGCCCTTGCATCCAAAAGCATCTCCCAGAGCAAAGGCTCAAGAAGTCTGGAAGGTGAGCTGGGGGGCAGGGGGAGAATGGGACCAGGAGCTCTACACTAAGCATAAGTTGGGAAGAAGGGCAAAGAAACAACATCTTACTTTGATCAGATTAAGTTTGTCATACTGAAAAGAAAACCATAAAAAAAATTAGAATTCAGACAGACAAACAAACAAAAAGGTGACAGGTCACAGTAGCACCAGTGTCACAGCACCAACAGAGAGCTAAGCTGCAAGGCAGAAGCCGAGGATGAAGTGGCCCTATCTGCTTCGCAGGCCTGCAAAGGCTGAGCTGTGCTCTTGAGCTGGCGGGGGCAGGAAAGCATGCCCTGGCTCCCTCTGGTGGCCACAGGCCATCACTACCAAGTGCAGCTCAATTGTGGCCCAAACAGGGGTTTCTGGTAGTGAAAGTCAGCCCTGGGGTTCTGAGCAGAAGCAAGAATCAGCCTCAACCATTGAGACAATGATGGGGAAGGGGAAGCCTTAATGATTTCCCTGTCCCAACAGGGAAATCTAAAAGGGAAAAGAGACAGTGTCTGACCCCTGTGTGAAGAAGGCACCTTGCGGTCTGCTTGAAAACACACAGGGTGGCAGGAGGTGGTCAGAGGTGGCCTAGCTATGTCCGTAGCAAAAACAGCTCTAGCTCACAGAACCTCTGCACGACTATATCTGGTCACTTTGAGAGGGTGTGCTCCCCGGGAAAGTAGTGTTAAAGGCTTTTGGCCTTGCCCCAGCAGCACTTCCTGGCTGTCCAACAGCTGAGCGTGCATTGAACCCTCTGCAGATAGTGTGTCTTGCACACGCACGTTCCGGGTTGACCATTGCTGCTGCCCTGTGCACTTGCATGATGTGGTCGTCCCCAGCTCAGCGCTCAGCAAGCGTTGTGCTGCTGCTCACTGAATGAGTAAGAGGTCTATACTTCAACTTAGGACTGGAAAGACTAAAGACTCAGAGAAGACGTGGAGAGAAGGGATAACCTGATGCCCACATCCAGCCAGATCCTCCTCCTTCCGGATGAGCCTCGCGCCCTCTGACAGACATTTCAACTACAGCAGAGGGGCGGGCACTCTGGCACAGTGACCAACAGTCTTATACAAGTCCTGTCCCCAGATACTGGGCCTGCCTGAACCTGCCCAGCCTCCTACACACAAAGAGGCCTCCTGCTGGTTTCCTCACTTCAGGCTGTCCTCCACTGGCAACAACCACTTCAAGTCCTGAGAGCACTTAGAGTGTGAAGGGAACAATGGGCAGGTATGGGTGTGGGGCTTCACGTTCTTCCATCAGGAATGAACAGTGATATGTCTTCCTCCCCGAAAACGCCTGCAGACACTGTTGTAAGTCTTCCTGCGGCTTCTTCCAACGGCACTGCTTTCCCACAACTGATTTCCTGGGCACTATTGTCTTAGTACCAATTGCTCACCATTTACTCACTCCTCGGACCTCAGAGATGCTCAGGCCCTGGGTAGACAGAGTTTGGCACATCTCTCTCTTGCAATCATATATCCACAGCCTGGTGGGTCCTGCACATTCATCAACCTCCAGATGCTGGCACTACACCCTCTTTGACCAAAACCCAGGGCTCTAAGCAAACCATGAACGAAATCCAGAGTGGCACAGGCAAGGAAATGGTGAGGGGTTCCCTGGCCAAGTAGCTCTCACGGTGGAGGGAAAGACGAACTGGGCAGACTCCGGGAGGTGCTGGCAGAGCCAACACTGACCCTCTGTCAGGGGTCCTTCCCATCAGTCTCTCGTCACTTCTGCCAGAAGCCAGACTTACCCATCAAGGGGCCACAAAAAAACAACAGTATGACTGACCAGAGGCACCATACCCACAGGAAAGGAACTACCTACCCCCTGCAGGACTCTGCTTTTAGGAAGTGCCACGCTCGAAGGGAAACACATTCCCACTAGTGATGGTGTTTGAGAAGCAAGCAGACACAGGGGTTGGGGGGGGTCATCAGGCTCTGTTCTCTGACATTAGATGCAGTGGGAGTGAACCCTCAGTGACTTCCAAGCCAGATTGCCAAGGGATGGGGGTGGGGCACAGTGGGATCGGCCCTTCTGGGAAAGGGACCAAGCAGGACATATGGGCAGAACTGGCAGGGGTGGAGGGAGGGGGGCTGAGCTGAGCTGAGCACTACAGACAATCCAATACTAGAGGGGAAGAGGAAAAGACGGAGACAAAGATGGCTTACTTTTGAGAGGCGCTTGTGAGACTAAAGACCATGCATGCAGAAGACGTATTTGGGAAACAGTGGGGAGAAGAGGAAGAACAAGAAATCAGAAGACAAATTCAAGTGGGGAAACCAGCTCCCAAGCCTCCCGGGGAGGGGGTCCCCTTCCTTGTGCCCTGTGAGTCTGGTGGTTTAGGAGCCCCTGGACAGAGGTACCTCTTGATTGCCAGAGGCCTGGGAATGGAAGGAGAAGGCTGGGGAACCACAACCACGTGAGGCCTCTGTGCTAAGTCTTGGACCAGGAGCCTGGGTGCTCGGGTGTACAGGGACAGGGAGGAAAGGCCCTGGGACTGTCCCTTCTGCAAGATGAGTAGGTGGGTATGTAGGTAAGGCAGGGTGACAGCCAAGGAGGAGGTTAAAACTAACACTCTGGAAGGTTCCCTGAAGCCTTTCTTTCTGGCAATACAGTTGTCCCAAATAATGTCCCTTTACCAGTTCAAGGGATCAAATTTAAAGGATTAAGCAGGTGACCTCTCCTGATCCCCGGAACCCCCTCCTTATCTCAAGGGTCATGACGTTTCTTAGATCCTACAGAGAGATGGAAAGTTGGGGAGAGGAGGGGCATGTGGCTCAGGACTCACCCTGAGTGCTGCTTAGACAGGAATCTATTCAATTAGGATCTCCCCTGATGGCTCTGACCTGACCTGAGTGCATAGACCCTGGGGCTGTTCAAGCACGTGAGTGCCCAGTCAGTACCTTCTTCCTGCAGCTAGCTAACGAGGGCCACTGGGGCTCCAGCATAGTCTGCTCACCTTGGAATTTTTGCCACCACTTCGACCAGATTGTGAAGAGCAACTGCGTTGCACGCCCTGCTCCGGGGTGGATGGGGACTTGTCCGAGGAGTGATCTGAGCCCTTCTCCACCATGGTGTCTCCGTCCTGGTTCTGTGGCGTTGGCGAGCGGGACCTCTTCCGGAGGATGGGGGAGCAGGCCGGCGTGCTGCGGTTGGAGTTACTGGCAGTGCTGCAGGAGCAAAGAGAGACAGGGAATGAGGTGAGAGGGTGGAGGGAGAAAGAAAAGCTGTCAGTGACAGCAGACCAGAGAGACCCATGCAAAGGACCCAGGCAATGGGCTAGGAATATCAGAGGACCCAACTAGGGACTCGCTGTACTGTAATGCTGCTATTGGCCAGCAGGGGGCAGTAGTGCCAGTGTAAAAAGGGAAATAAGACTAGAAACCAGCAGGTAGATATTCAAATATTTACCCACCCATCCGCAATCTCCCCCATCCAATCCAGTTTGAGCTTTTCCTACTTGTGATAGGCAGAAAGCTATTAGGAAAAATAATTTAAGCCCTGAAAGAATCATTGGCGATCACTCAATATCACCACCTCATTTTACAAACACCATGTGTCAACCCTTTCGTTCATAATGATGTCACTTTTCAAAGCATTCACATATATATTCTTTCATAGACATGCCTTTTTAAAACTATTACGTTATTTTCTTTTGCATGTGTGTGCACGCATGTGTGTGCGTGCACGTGCGTGTGCATGTGGGCATGTGGGCATGTGCCACAGCATGCCTGCAGAGGTCTGAGAACAACCTGTTGGAGTCTATCCCCCTCCAAGAACAATGTGGGTCCTGGGGAATGAACACAGGCCACTTATTTGACTGGCAGTGAGCACTTTTATCTACTGAGCCTTCTCACCGGCCCGCATACCATGTGTCTAAAGACATTCGAGCAAGCTAATAATGACAAGTGCCACTATTCTTAAGTTTAAAAGGGAAGACAAATGCCTGGCAGGCAGAAGTAAGTGATCAAAGCAGAGACTCGGAATTCGCTTCAGATGGAAGTCATGCATCTGGTATTCAATCGATCGAGTTATGCTGCTGTCCCACTGGGGCAAGGTCTTATCCTCCAGCCCCCACCCCACATTCATCTCTAATAAGTTTCTTGCACTTCCCACGGCACCAAGCCCAGTCATACCTCGGCATAGCATCTGCTAATAAGAAGAATGGAAACTCGGCTTGTGTTTTCAAGAGAGCGGAAGAGATAAAGAAGGAAAGGGAGAGGAAAACCTTGAATTCATTTGGCCTTGTTTTGAAAGGAGAGAGAAAGGGAAGAGATGGACGAAAGGGGAAGGGGAGGGGGGGAAGGAACGGACTGCGGCCTGTGAGATTGCAACGGCCACAGAGCAAGGTGTCAGGAGGGGACGGGATCCTGGCCACCTGCTCGGCAGCTAGGCTGGATAAGCCAGGCAACCATCTCAGGAAAATCACCTTCTGGCCCGGCCTCAGGAAGCAGAGCGCAGGATGCAGGACAGTGACATTTGCATGAAGAGCTGGCTGTAACCTCAAATGCCCCCCTGGAGACATTTGCAGGGATTACCATGCTCTGCCTCCTGGACAAACTCAATATAGGAGAGAAAGTCTATACGCCCAACTGGTATCGCTGGGGAGGGGCGAAAGTAGGGGAAGGATCATTGTGAACCTTAGGAGAAAAACTGAGAGCAAGATCAGGGAAAAGGGGAAAAACAAATGTAGCCACAAGGCCCAAGGCTTTGCTTCATCTGAACACACAGAGTTCAGTTAAAATCTTCTCTGCCAATGACTTGAAGAGGCCCCAGATGCCTCTCGGAGGAGGCGGTCCAAATTCTCTCCCCCTTGCAACTCCATCCTTTTTCCTGACTCTCTAAAACCATTTGATTCCGTGAGCCCTGGGGAAAGGAAGTTGGTTTCCTTTTTTCATATCAAGAAGCTGAGCCACGTGTCTGATGGAAGCAGACACCCCGGTCCTCTGAGAGAGCTTGGGGAAGAGACCCAGGTGCTCACCCATCCAAGAAAACCTCCTTTATCTTGGGACAACTCCGGCCTATGTCCAAGTATCCAGGAGTGATCTTCCTACTCAAAAAATAAGTGGAGGAGGAGGAAGAGGAGGAACACCTGTCTATCACAAACACAAAAGACCTTTCCCATCTTCCTGAAATAAAGGCCATTTTCATATAGTCTGATTCTAGACCATGAGTGCTTGCTCATAAGGGGCTGCCGGAGGCAAGACTAACAAAGTCAAAGGTATAAAACACTGGATGCAGATACAGGGCACAATAAATAACATGAACGGAGTAGGTGAAACGGCACAACTCTTGCTCCCAAGCAGATGATCCAAGTATAACCCCCAGGAGCCACAGGGTGGACGGAGAGAACTGAACCCCTGCAAGTTGTACTCTGACCTCTACGTGCGAGCTCTACTACATGTATGTGCGCGCGCCACACCGCACGTGTGGAGATTAGAGGACAGCTTCAGGGAGCTAATTCTCTCCTTCCGCCACGAGGGTCCCAGGGATTGAACTCAGGCCGTCAGGCTTGGCAGCAAGCACCTTTGCCCACGGAGTCATCTCTCTGATCTCTTGCATCTTCTCATGGTACCCAAACCAGAATTTAGCTCTTTTCCCAATGTGTTCTTCACCTCTGTGGTCACTACTCTCTGACTTCAACCTGTCACTGGGTGAGTCTCCTCGGCCACCAAACCTACATACACTTGCTAATGCGGCCCATCAATATTGTGCCTAGGGAATATTTCTTCCAGATGCCTCCTGAGTGCCTCAGCTCCCAAATATCTGGCCGTCTTCTTCCCAGACCTCTGCCCATTCCTGACCTCTCTCCAAAGAAACCGTTACAGCTCAGAAGCATCACCTTTCGCTCTGTTTCCATAGGCTCACTACCCCATCCTTCCTTTCCTGTCCTGGGGTTCTACCTCAGGTTCTCAGTGTGCCTTGTCTTGACTCGTCCAATAACGTTAGCGATGATTTAACTGGTCCCTGAGAAACACTGAGAACAATAAGAGGTCGTTGACCCTTCTATGCTTGGCCTCCACTCCAGTCCTTCTCTATACAAGAAGAAAACCCTGTAACCATAGCAGAGTCATGGCTACACTGCTAAACCTATTGCTGCCAAGCAAATAAAGCCAATCCCTGTGCATTCTATACAGCAGTCTACCTTCCCAACTCCATCATTCTATACAGCAGTCCACCTTCCCAACTCCATTGTGTGCCCATAACCTGATTCTGCCAGCTGTCGTCATAATTCAAAATTGACATTATACTTGGGGATGGACTCAAAGGACCTTACTGTATGGAGGAAGACCAGTATTGGGTCAAAAGACAGGACCACTAACCTGAATTCAGGAAGAGTCCTGTAACCTTTGGCCTTTAAGAACCCTGAGAAACAGCAGAATAAGTGCCTGGCCGAGGGGTTGTGACTGTGTGTGTAACACTATAGTGCGCAGATATTTATGGGTCACTGGGTACAATGTTAAACATTCAAGATCACACAGGCGAATAAGGAAAGTTCTTTGTGCTTAGGACATTTATAGCGAGGCGGAGTTAGAGATGACCTCTTCTCAATGGAATATAGGCTACAGGTGTTGTGATCCAAGAAAGCAGAGTTGGGGGAGAGAGGGAGGGAGGAAGGGGAAAAGGGGAAAAAAGAAAAAAGGAAAGTAAAAAGCTTTCCTTGAAGAACTGGGTTCAGAAAATGTATTGGGGTTCTCCGGGTAAAGGCATGGAGGTCACGGCAGAGCAGAAAGAACGAAACAGAAGTCAGCATGAAGAGAGTAAGAGTCTTGAATAACATGGAACGCAGGGGAGTACAAGAAGCTGCGCAGGAAACGGTTTTGAACTAACGCTCATCGGAGTCCTGTAATCATCACGTCTCCCAGAGAACAAACAGGTCCACTACGACCCTACTGGCTGCCCCTAACCCAGGAAGATGCTCACTCATTCCCCACCTCTCCTATGTGTAAGACAGGCAACAAAGACTATTCCACCCCTGTCCCAGTTACCTTGTGACAGAAAGTCCGTCCTCAAGCCTGACCACAGCGTCTCATGCTGTGTGTGGTCAGGGCCTATTCCCTGTGCTCCCGTGGCTGCTGTCCTTGAGCAATCGGGAAATACAGGAGGAGAACAAAGGTTCTCTTTCTACAATGTGACTTTCTTTACAGGTTCTCCCACCTGCACCTCACACACCCTGGCAGTGGCACCACTTTTTCTGGCTCGCATGCTCCATCCCTATTCCTAATGAGGTCCTGCGGGCACAGGCAGACCTTGTCAGCATGCCAGCTCCCTGATCAGCCACCCGTGCATTTTTTTTTCAGAACTCCAAGCCAAGCACAATGGTCAGCTGGTGTTCTTTATTTGAGTTTATGTGTTTGCCTTTATCAAAGATTGTTTCTGCTCCAGATATTGCAAAATATATACCTGCCACTCTGGACGCCCTGTCCCTTCATCTTTTTGGATTGCTGCCACTGTCCTTGTGATCCTGTGGTCCCACCAGCAGCACAGCCCTATCTCGTTCTTGATCCGATTCCCAAACCCAGCCCTAAGGTCCCCTTCATGGCAGAGGGCCTGGCTACCATCCTCTCACCAACAAGGAGCACGGATAACTTTTAAGAATGACTCTGTGATATATTCCAGGGCACTGCCATCAGGGGAGCACTAAATTTGAAACCTGGGCATTGTATCTCAAAGCAGGAGGATAAGGAAAACTGCCAGTGTGCCATGAGAGCCAAGTCCAGCTTGAAGGCCCCCTTAGTCATTTGCTTTCTATGTTACCTTGGCTCTTGAGTCTCATTTTTTCTCATTTGAAGCAACTTTGTCCTGCTGTACAACCAGTCCTTAGAAACAGCTGAGCCACCAAAACGGGTATTAAACTCCCTTGGCCTCTTTCCTCAATCTCTCGTTGGGGTCTGTTAAGTGTAAAAGACATGAACGCTGCTGGACTCCTACCCGTGTATGGTAGGGGAAGGGTGTCGGCAACACAGAGTGTGATTCCTAAAAGCACAGAACTCTAGTCTTGTCCTCATACCATCTCTTGTTAATTTTCTGGGCATCGTTTTCAGAATCCACATCGAAGATAAGTACCATTCTGAAGCTATAGCATCACTATGCCCAAGGAACAACTTTCAAGGAATGAGAAAATACTTGATATCCCTGTATTTCCTTGGCCACAGAGCCTTCTTTCTAA